TGGTAGTATGGGGGAAGGTCAGGGTTTGCTGGTAGTGTGGGGGAAGGTCAGGGTCTGCTGGTAGTGTGGGGGAAGGTCAGGATATGCTGGTAGTGTGGGGGAAGGTCAGGGTTTGCTGGTAGTGTGGGGGAAGGTCAGGATATGCTGGTAGTGTGGGGGAAGGTCAGGATATGCTGGTAGTATGGGGGAAGGTCAGGGTCTGCTGGTAGTGTGGGGGAAGGTCAGGGTTTGCTGGTAGTATGGGGGGAGGTCATGATATGCTGGTAGTGTGGGGGAAGGTCAGTATATGCTGGTAGTGTGGGGGAAGGTCAGTATATGCTGGTAGTGTGGGGGAAGGTGCAGTACTGACTATCTTGGGGTTAAGAAAACACTGGAGTATAACACCAGGATAAAGATTAATGAACACGTTTTAAATTCGAGCCAAAGAAGGTTGAGAGGAACCCATGAACTGAATACAAATGAGAATATTAATTGCAGTGTCTTTATTGTCTTGCCTCCTGGACGACCCTTGATTCCTGGCTTAGTTAATTTCTGGCGTTATATGCATGTGTTGTGGCTCTCCTTATTCTGCTCACGAGGCCACCCGCCTTCCTGATGAAATACCTCAACTTAATCTGAAAATTCCAAGCAATATCCACCCTCACATATTCTCTCTCTGTCTCTCTCTCTCTCTGTCTCTCTCTCTCTCTCTCGCTCTCTGCACGCTACACAACACACACACACACACACACACACACCACACACACACACACACCACAACACACACCACACACACACACGCACACTATCTGCATTCCTTCACACACACACACACACCGCTACCATTATCCTTCAAATCTACCATAATTATTTTATTAAGACTAACCTGATGAACGTGGTACTCGAAATCGATTCAAGGTCAAGCAATTTGACCTCCTTACACCTTAAATTTCTTTCCTAGTTATCCTCTGTCACGTCACATCAAATTGACCTCTAGCGTCTAGGGAATGTATTAAGCACATAATGTGCTTCTAATGTACTCTTTGGCTTTAAGGTGAGAGGTAAATGTACACACACAGTCAATACACAGCTTCAAGAGTAGATATGACAAGGCCCGAGAAATCAGTGACGCCATAGAAGTGATCTAGTACTAAAAGCCGTGGCCAGGAGCTGAGTCTCACTCCCCTCTCCCCTCCCTACCACACACAGAGCTTAGGAATGTTATGAACGAAGCAATACGTCATGACTTTAATGATAATTGGCGGAAGTGTGTGTAAAGACTTACTGTGTTAAGTCATGAATTGAGGTGCACTTGAGCGGAGGAACACTTGAGTGGAGGTGCACGCGAGGGTGGGTTCACAAAAATGGAGGAGCACGTAATAGAAGGTCCTTGTAATTAAGGGTGCACGTAAGTCGAAGCTCACATAAGTGGAGGAGCATAAGAAGTCTCACAAGAAATTTGCCTCTGTAATAGCTATGATACATATTTCTACGAGATGTATTAAATATTTCTACGAGATGTATTAAATATTTCTACGAGATGTATTAAATATTTCTACGAGATGTATTAAATATTTCTACGAGATGTATTAAATATAGGGAAAATGTGATACTAGTAGCGACCTAATTCTCGTTTCCTAAGTTAAAGTTATTTGTGAAGATATATATATATATATATATATATATATATATATATATATATATATATATATATATATATATATTATATATATATATATATATATATTATCACACTGGCCGATTCCCACCAAGGCAGGGTGGCCCGAAAAAGAAAAACCTTCACCATCATTCACTCCATCACTGTCTTGCCAGAAGGGTGCTTTACACTACAGTTTTTAAACTGCAACATTAGCACCCCTTCTTCAGAGTGCAGACACTGTACTTCCCATCTCCAGGACTCAAGTCCGGCCTAGCCGGTTTCCCTGAACCCCTTCATAAATGTTACTTTGCTCACACTCCAACAGCACGTCAAGTATTAAAAACCATTTGTCTCCATTCACTCCTATCAAACACGCTCACGCATGCCTGCTGGAAGTCCAAGCCCCTCGCACACAAAACCTCCTTTACCCCCTCCCTCCAACCTTTCCTAGGCCGACCCCTACCCCGCCTTCCTTCCACTACAGACTGATACACTCTTGAAGTCATTCTGTTTCGCTCCATTCTCTCTACATGTCCGAATCACCTCAACAACTCTTCCTCAACCCTCTGGACAACAGTTTTGGTAATCCTGCACCTCCTCCTAACTTCCAAACTACGAATTCTCTGCATTATATTCACACCACACATTGCCCTCAGACATGACATCTCCACTGCCTCCAGCCTTCTCCTCGCTGCAACATTCATCACCCATGCTTCACACCCATATAAGAACGTTTGTAAAACTATACTCTCATACATTTCCCTCTTTGCCTCCAAGGACAAAGTTCTTTGTCTCCACAGACTCCTAAGTGCACCACTCACCCTGTTCCCCTCATCAATTCTATGATTCACCTCATCTTTCATAGACCCATCCGCTGACACGTCCACTCCCAAATATCTGAATACGTTCACCTCCTCCATACTCTCTCCCTCCAATCTGATATTCAATCTTTCATCACCTAATCTTTTTGTTATCCTCATAACCTTACTCTTTCCTGTATTCACCTTTAATTTTCTTCTTTTGCACACCCTACCAAATTCATCCACCAATCTCTGCAACTTCTCTTCAGAATCTCCCAAGAGCACAGTGTCATCAGCAAAGAGCAGCTGTGACAACTCCCACTTTGTGTGTGATTCTTTATCTTTTAACTCCACGCCTCTTGTCAAGACCCTCGCATTTACTTCTCTTACAACCCCATCTATAAATATATTAAACAACCACGGTGACATCACACATCCTTGTCTAAGGCCTACTTTTACTGGGAAATAATCTCCCTCTTTCCTACATACTCTAACTTGAGCCTCACTATCCTCGTAAAAACTCTTCACTGCTTTCAGTAACCTACCTCCTACACCATACACCTGCAACATCTGCCACATTGCCCCCCTATCCAACCTGTCATACGCCTTTTCCAAATCCATAAATGCCACAAAGACCTCTTTAGCCTTATCTAAATACTGTTCACTTATATGTTTCACTGTAAACACCTGGTCCACACACCCCCTACCTTTCCTAAAGCCTCCTTGTTCATCTGCTATCCTATTCTCCGTCTTACTCTTAATTCTTTCAATAATAACTCTACCATACACTTTACCAGGTATACTCAACAGACTTATCCCCCTATAATTTTTGCACTCTCTTTTATCCCCTTTGCCTTTATACAAAGGAATTATGCATTCTCTCTGCCAATCCCTAGGTACCTTACCCTCTTCCATACTTTTATTAAATAATTGCACCAACCACTCCAAAACTATATCCCCACCTGCTTTTAACATTTCTATCTTTATCCCATCAATCCCGGCTGCCTTACCCCCTTTCATTTTACCTACTGCCTCACGAACTTCCCCCACACTCACAACTGGCTCTTCCTCACTCCTACAAGATGTTATTCCTCCTTGCCCTATACACAAAATCACAGCTTCCCTATCTTCATCAGCATTTAACAATTCCTCAAAATATTCCCTCCATCTCCCCAATACCTCTAACTCTCCATTTAATAACTCTCCTCTCCTATTTTTAACTGACAAATCCATTTGTTCTCTAGGCTTTCTTAACTTGTTAATCTCACTCCAAAACTTTTTCTTATTTTCAACAAAATTTGTTGATAACATCTCACCCACTCTCTCATTTGCTCTCTCTATACATTGCTTCACCACTCTCTTAACCTCTCTCTTTTTCTCCATATACTCTTCCCTCCTTGCATCACTTCTACTTTGTAAAAACTTCTCATATGCTATTTTTTTCTCCCTTACTACTCTCTTTACATCATCATTCCACCAATCGCTCCTCTTCCCTCCCGCACCCACTTTCCTGTAACCACAAACTTCTGCTGAACACTCTAACACTACATTTTTAAACCTACCCCATACCTCTTCGACCCCATTGCCTATGCTCTCATTAGCCCATTTATCCTCCAATAGCTGTTTATATCTTACCCTAACTGCCTCCTCTTTTAGTTTATAAACCTTCACCTCTCTCTTCCCTGATGCTTCTATTCTCCTTGTATCCCATCTACCTTTTACTCTCAGTGTAGCTACAACTAGAAAGTGATCTGATATATCTGTGGCCCCTCTATAAACATGTACATCCTGAAGTCTACTCAACAGTCTTTTATCTACCAATACATAATCCAACAAACTACTGTCATTTCGCCCTACATCTTGTATACTTATTTATCCTCTTTTTCTTAAAATATGTATTACCTATAACTAAACCCCTTTCTATACAAAGTTCAATCAAAAGCTCCCATTATCATTTACACCTGGCACCCCAAACTTACCTACCACACCCTCTCTAAAAGTTTCTCCTACTTTAGCATTCAGATCCCCTACCACAATTACTCTCTCACTTGGTTCAAAGGCTCCTATACATTCACTTAACATCTCCCAAAATCTCTCTCTCTCCTCTGCATTCCTCTCTTCTCCAGGCGCATACACGCTTATTATGACTCACTTCTCGCATCCAACCTTTACTTTAATCCACATAATTCTTGAATTTACACATTCATATTCTCTTTTCTCCTTCCATAACTGATCATTCAACATTACTGCTACCCCTTCCTTTGCTCTAACTCTCTCAGATACTCCAGATTTAATCCCATTTATTTCCCCCCACCGAAACTCCCTACCCCCTTCAGCTTTGTTTCGCTTAGGGCCAGGACATCCAACTTCTTTTCATTCATAACATCAGCAATCATCTGTTTTTTGTCATCCGCGCTACATCCACGCACATTCAAGCATCCCAGTTTTATAAAGTTATTCTTCTTCTCTTTTTTAGTAAATGTCTACAGGAGAAGGGGTTACTAGCCCATTGCTCCCGGCATTTTAGTCGCCTCATACGACACGCATGGCTTACGGAGGAAAGATTCTTTTCCACTTCCCCATGGACAATAGAAGAAATAAAGAAGAACAAGAGCTATTTAGAAAAAGGAGAAAAACCTAGATGTATGTATTAATATATATGCATGTGCGTGTCTGTGAAGTGTGACCAAAGTGTAAGTAGGAGTAGCAAGATATCCCTGTTATCTAGCGTGTCTATGAGACAGAAAAGAAACCAGCAATCCTACCATCATGCAAAACAGTTACAGGTTTCTGTTTCACAGTCATCTGGCAGGACGGTAGTACTTCCCTGGGTGGTTGCGTCTACCAACCTACTACCTTATATATATATATATATATATATATATATATATATATATATATATATATATATATATTATATATATATATATATATATATATATATATATATATATTATTTGTGATATAAAGACAATTTTTTGTTTTAGGTCATTTTCTGAATTGATCACCTGGTTTTTTCTTGGGTTTTTGGTCCATGTTGAACCACTCTTGCTTCATCAGTTTTTCACTGTTCGAAAAATTTTTTCAAAGGAAAAACATTGTCATATATGCACATTTGGTTGTATGGATTCTTTGTAACAAATGCAGAAGTGTATTTTAAAATATTTTCTTACGTGAGCATATATTCATATAGTAATATAATTCATTGACTATCTACGTTACATCTAACATAAGATCGTCTTACCAAGCATATATAAATAACTTGCACCGAAGACCTCGCCTTTTTCACAGACACCTGATCTAGTATTGACTGTGTGTTGCCTTCTCTCACTTTAGTCGACTTTTTAACATGCTGATCAGCACAAAAATTGTCCTCCCATTGAGAAATTTACAGTGTTTGTGTAGCAGCATAAACGAGGCCTCTCATCAGTGGGGAACATGCAAGTATTGTTCAACACTCACACAACGTGCCGCTTCAACCAGCGTTTTTTCATTATATTTCACAATGATGGCAGGACGCGAGGCTTGCTCGCTCACTGCTGCATGATAACGTACATTTGGCTGTTACGATAATTCGGCCAATATGAGAAATGGTCCTTGACATAAAGATTATATCGTGCTGGGAGGAATGTGGCGCTGATGGTGGTGGCATTGGTGGTGGTTGTGGTGGTGGCGGCTGTGGTGGGGAGATGGGACAGCGATAGGGATGGTGGCTTTCATAGTTGGTTTGGAGTTAGTAGTGCTGATATTGGTAGGGAATGCTGGTGTTAGGATTGAGGTGGCATGGGTAGTGGTGTGGGTAGTGGTGTTGTGTTCGGGTAGTGGTGGTGTGGGTAGTGGTGGTGGTGTGGGTAATAGTGTCAAGGCTAGTACTAGTTTACAGTATCTGGACTTAAAAGTGGACCTAATAGCGATCAGTGAAGACGCGGGCCAGGAGCTGTGACTCGATGCTTGCAACCACAAATAGACACGAGTACGTACACACACACACACACACACACACACACACACACACACACATATCCCATGATTCTGCCTCTTCACTCACCAACACTCGCACTTTTCCCAAGCACTTTCCACAAACATCTTACCGTACATCTCGCACCTTTCCACCCACAGAAAGAAACTGCAAGAGTATGAGCAGAAGTGTGCAGCAGACGCGGTGACTGGCCGCTGTTCAGACACGCACAGAAGCTGTCAACAAGCTGTAATGAACATCCTAGGCACGGAACTGCACGCCACCTGTGTGTGTAAAGGCACGGACTTTCTGCACCAGCACGACTGTTACACCTGGCAGAAGTTGCTCTGGTCCAACCCCTGTGTCAGTAAGTACATCTGTATATACACACATGCTGTGCCGGGTCGATTTGTTTGTACGCACCTGTTTGTGGTTGCAGGGGTTGAATCACAGTTCGTGTGCGTGTCTCTGAGTGTGAGTGTGTGTATCTGTATGTATACCTGTGTGTATGTGTGTGTGTGTTGAGTCAGAGAGAGAAAAATAGGGGATTACCAGACCGACACCACAGATTTTTCCACGGTATTATTTTCCCTTCTGAGAGAGATAGCCATCTTTTCTGATAGCCATCTTTTCTGATAGCCATCTTTTCTTAGATAACCATCTTATTTTATATAGCCATCTTTTTGATAGCCATATTTCCTTAGCCATCTTTTCCTTTAAGACAACTCAATATGTTCCTTGACTTGGATTTGTTGTTTAATGGATCAAGGTCACTGTAGTGATGAATCAAGATCACTGCAGTAATGAATCAAGGTCACTGTAGTGATGAATCAAGATAACTAGTGTGATGAATCAAGATCACTGTAGTGATGGATCAAGATCACTGTAGTGATGGATCAAGGTCAATGTAGTAATGAATCAAGGTCACTGTAATAGATCAAGGTTACTACAGTGATGGATCATTGTCATTGTAATGATGAATGAAGGTCACTACAGAGATGAATCAAGATCACTGTAGTGAATCAAGATCACTACAGTGATGGATCAAGGTCATTACGGTAATGGATCGAGGTTATTGTAGTGATGAATCAAGATCATTACAGTGTTATATCAAGGTCACTACAGTGATGGATCAATGTCATTGTAATGATGGATGAAGGTCACTGTAGTGATGGATCAAGGTTACTCCCGTGATGAATCAAGGTCACTGTAGTGAATCAAGGTCACTACAGTGATGGATCAAGGTCACTACAGTAATGGATCAAGGTTGCTGTAGTGATGAATCAAGGTCACTGTAGTGATGAATCAAGGTCACTACAGTGATGGATCAAGGTTACTGTAGTGATGAATCAAGGTCACTACAGTGATGGATCAAGGTTACTGTAGTGATAAATCAAGATCACTGTAGTGATGAATCAAGGTCACTACAGTGATGGATCAAGGTCACTACAGTGATGGATCAAGGTCACTACAGTGATGGATCAAGGTTACTGTAGTGATGAATCAAGATCACTGTAGTGATGAATCAAGGTCACTGTAGTGATGAATCAAGGTCACTGTAATTATGGATCAAGGTCACTGGTATAATAATTTTGCAGGTGGAATGGAAGTAGATCCATCAATAATGAGGGGGATAAGTCTTGATGCTGGTGAATGGCTCTTGATCAAACAAAATGGAGCAACCCTCCTCCCTCGGATCGAACCTGGTTACCTCCCATTTACCGTGTACTTTATGGCCCATACTGTTCTAGCTCTTCTCATTGGCTGTAAAAAAAATTGCATTTTCTTGTCTCTCAGTTGAATCCCACTTGAAGTTACATGAAGAGATAAACAGTGGTGCGAGTGAGGAGCTGGACGAGATGTTTCGCCAGATGACCCCCGCCCACACCACGCCCGACCCACGACCACCTTACATCCAGCCCACGCCCGAGGACAGCGACTTCAGGAGACGCGCAAACGGCTACGGATCAATTCGATACAGACCGCAAGAGCCAGATCTGGGTCCTCGGCCCTCTGAGACCTACGCTATCGACCGCAACAACAAATGGGAAGGAGGTCGCCTGCCGGGGATATCAACGGACAGGAAGACCTCGGGAGGGATTGGAATACCCTTCGATCGAAACGGAGAAGTTCACGTGCCCCCGAGGACTATTGGAGGTCACAACATGAACATCAATCTAGGAGGCAGCAACGGCATTCGTTACCCAACAGAGGACACTCACGACATTCTCGAGAAAGGAGGATTGGGTACCCACAACCTCGGTCCTCCAATAAGCCCAGGAGTGGACGGTGTCCCTCACGGAAGAGAGAGATTTGGCGGTGGTGTTGGTGTTGGAAGAACCAGAATGGGCAGCGGTATTAACATCGGCAGGGGCAGAAATGGCGGTGGCGGTATTACTATAGGCAGGGACCGCAACAGGGGCGCTGTTACCATCGGCAGGGATCACGGAGGCGGCATCAGGGTTGGGGTAGACCGCCACGAACCAGACGGGGACCTGTGGAACCGTAACCGAGCGACTGGTCTGGGTGTGAGTCCAGACCGCAGCGGTGTGGACATCTATAACCCAGACCAAAATGGAAACAATTATAGGAATCGTCCTCGCGGCGAGATAGGACATGGGGGAACGTCCATAGGAGAAACAGACGAGGGCGTGGTACTCGGCAGAGAGAAATGGAGAGGCACCGGGCATGGGGTAGGCCGTGTGGGTAGGCCTGGCAAGTGGCCTCTCGGCAAAGAACTGTACCCGGTGCCACCAGAGGAAGAGCGAGAGACTCGAACCCGTGCCCCTGGATACCTTCCTGAGGGGCAACTTCCTTACGTCACCCCGCCCGTCTTCGTGGCAGTGACCTCCACGCCCCCGCCCATGCCCGCGGGGGGCGCCTACCCCACCACCGTCATCACTACCCCTACCGTCCCTAGGCGTAAGTAACAAGGTTCTAGTAACACAAAACACTAGTGCGAGCAAGAGAGACTCAGTAACACAAAACTTTACCCTCATGAAAGCTTTACTCATGATAGTAATGAGGGGGAGCCTCTTGATCCGAGGAGCAAGAGCTACTCTTCTACCCCTCGGATCAAATCTATTACCTCTATTTACCCAAGCCAGATACAACCCTCACGGATTTAGCGCTTCATCTTTTCCCCAAGACATCGTTTTATTGATCCAAGGACACAGTTTTATTGATCCAAGAACACAGTTTTATTTCCCACAGAACACTATCCTTCAGCACCATATAGTGAATAGCAGGAGTCCATATAGCTAATCTTAGTACTCTTGTTATACTGACTGCTGGTCTCAGGCTACATACCGAGTCCGAAGCTCACCTCACTACACTTCCCTCACTACACTCTTCCTGACACGGGAACTCCGACGCAACACCAACGCACCACAGGATGTGTACGTCTCAGCGTATATATTCTGAGAGTTTACATCAGTCCTCACCATTTTCAACTATTAAGGTGTTCTTGACTGGTGAAGAGATTATCTGAGGCATTACAATCCTAGAGGAGAGTCGCAAAACTTTAAATCTGACCTCTCTGCCAAGACCTTAAACTAGACTCGTCTTTGGATCACAGGATTATCATCACATGTCAGGTCACAGGGCCTTCACTAACACATGTCAGGTCACAGGACTATCACTAACACATGTCAGGTCACAGGATCATCACTAACACATGTCAGGTCACAGGACCATCACTAACACATGTCAGGTCACAGGACCATCACTAACACATGTCAGGTCACAGGACCATCACTAACACATGTCAGGTCAAAGGACCATCACTAGCACATGTCAGGTCACAGGACCATCACTAGCACATGTCAGGTCACGGGACCATCACTAGCACATGTCAGGTCATAGGACCATCACTAACACAGGTCAAATCACAGGACCACCAACACAGGTCAGGTTACAGGACCATCACTAACACAGGTCAGGTCACAGGACCATCACTAACACATGTCAGGTCACAGGATTATCACTAACACAGGTCAGGTTACAGGACTATCACTAACACATGTCAGGTCACAGGACCATTATCATCACAGATCAGATCGCAGAACAGCCGACATAGGTCAGTTCACAGGACCATCACCAACACAGGTCAGGTCACAGGACTATCACTAACACGTCAGGTCACAGAACCAACACCAACACAGATCAGGTCACAGGACCATTATCACAGATCAGATCGCAGGACCACCAATATAGGTCAGGTCACAGAGCCATTACTAACACAGGTCAGGTCACAGGACTATCACTAGCATAGGTCAGGTCACAGGACCATCACTAGCATAGGTCAGATCACAGGACCATCACTAAGACAGGTCAGGTCACAGGACCATCACTAGCATAGGTCAGGTCACAGGACCATCACTAGCATAGCACAGGTCACAGGATCATCACTAGCATAGGCCAGATCACAGGACCATCACTAGCATAGGTCAGGTTACAAGACCATCACTAGCATAGGTCAGGTCACAGGACCATCACTAGCATAGGCCAGGTCACAGGACCATCACTAGCATAGGTCAGGTTACAAGACCATCACTAGCATAGGTCAGGTCACAGGACCATCACTAGCATAGGTCAGGTCACAGGACCATCACTAGCATAGGTCAGGTCACAGGACCATCACTAGCATAGGTCAGGTCACAGGACCATCACTAGCATAGGTCAGGTCACAGGACCATCACTAGCATAGGTCAGGTCACAGGACCATCACTAGCATAGGTCAGGTCACAGGACCATCACTAGCATAGGTCAGATCACAGGACCATCACTAGCATAGGTCAGGTCACAGGACCATCACTAGCATAGGTCAGGTCACAGGACCATCACTAGCATAGGTCAGGTCACAGGACCATCACTAGCATAGGTCAGGTCACAGGACCATCACTAGCATAGGTCAGGTCACAGGACCATCACTAGCATAGGTCAGATCACAGGACCATCACTAGCATAGGTCAGGTCACAGGACCATCACTAGCATAGGTCAGGTCACAGGACCATCACTAGCATAGGTCAGGTCACAGGACCATCACTAGCATAGGTCAGGTCACAGGACCATCACTAGCATAGGTCAGGTCACAGGACCATCACTCACACAGGTCTGGAAATATGTCCAGGAAAAGAGCTTAAGTATGTTAGATAATTTTAATGTAATCTACTCAGTATATTTTTGCAAATAGCATAATAGTATTTTTTCTCCAACCCGTTGCCCGTCACACCGTTGCCTGCTTCACCGTTGCCTGCCACACCGTTGCCTGCTTCACCGTTGCCTGCCACACCGGTACCTACTTCACCGTTGCCTGCCACACCGGTACCTACTTCAACGTTGACTGCCGTTGCCTGCCACACCGTTGCCTGCCTGTTGAGACTGCAGGAACCTGCTCCATGAAGATTGGAGACATGACCACCTTGAGGATCCCTGAAGGAAGCACAAAAAGAGTGAGTTAAAATCTTTATCTAAATTTGTGACTAAATGTGTGTTGGTATTTGTGTCTGAGCCAGTATGTATTTGGTGTGCTTGCAGAGGTCGAGCTAGAGCTCCTGGTCCCTCCTCTCAACTCTTGTGTCTAAGTCAAAGTTTGCATCAGAGGCTGTCTTTTGTGCATATGTCTAGGCTAGTGTCTATATTTTCATTTTCTCTAAATTTTTATTAAGAGTTGATGTTTGAGCTCAAAACACGTTTCTTGATTTTTTTTCAGTTTAGAGTTTTTTTGATTCTCAATGTTTTTATTTCTGATGGTATATAAATTACTATTATTATTGTTATTATTATTATCATCATCCGCAGGGGTACTTCTCAGCGGTTGCCTGAATTTTCTTAGCTTCCTCCAACTTTTCGAATTTTAAATCGGTCATAACTCAAGAACCATCATCCTAAACAGACTCAAATTTTGATGGTTTGTGTACGGTACAGAGAAGCAGGTTCCAGGAGCAACTGGTACATATAGATGCCCTGTGACCAGAGTTATTGACCTTCCCCCCCATTCCCAGCATCCTGGTGTGGTTCGGATACCTTCAAAAAACTGTGGATGGGTCTAGATTTGATCATTTTGTGAGATTTTGATTCTCGTTTAGTTATCTTGATGTAAATATATACGTCTTCTGAATGCCTTCTGTATTTAGTGGTTGATGAATCTAATGGTCAGGATAGTTTCCATTCACTTTAGTTTGTGTGGTGGGAATTATTATTATAAAAAAGGAAGCGCTAAACCTAGGTGTAAGAAACTTCGTCACTACTGTATTTTTTAAACTTGCAATCGCTAGACTATCTTAAAAAACGCAATCATTTTTTTCCTTATAGGATTGTTGAAAAGCTTAAAACTTGTATAACTGCAAAACGAAAATCGAAAAATAATGTCGCGTTTTTATATTTTTTTTATTTCATGAGTTGTGCGAACCCTTAAATACTGGACGGCGTGATGCCAGAGCCGTCCACCTGTTAGCTACGGTTCCTCATAACACCTAAAGTTTTCGGTTATAACTTGAGAACGACTTATCAAATAGGCTTCAAATTTCAAACTCGGGTCAACTGTTACTAGGTGAAAGTTTATAGAAAATTTGACATGTACAGGTGCTTTCTGCTCAATTCTAAATTGACCATTCCCGATTTTGATTTCTACGAGATTGGTTTAAAGACCATCTTTTGATCGGCTTCACAATTTCAAGCATTTTTAATACCCGGGTATTAAAACTTTAAAATACCCGGGTATTAAAAATTTGTATTACCTGGGTATTAAGAACATCTCTCTCTCTCTCTCTCTCTCTCTCTCTCTCTGCTCGTCGTAGTTTTAGATAAGAGTTACTACATAAAGAATTCAAGGGAGGATTAAAGTATGGTGTTAATGCAGAGTCCATGAGAAGATCATAACAAGAAATCTTTTTCCATGAAGGATTCAGGGGAAAGATGACACCAGACACAAGACTCATAACGGAGCTTCATTAGGAAGGTGAGGTTCTGTAATGGGTTTAAAGGAGGACCATAATGGGGTGTGTTAATGAATCCTTGGCCTGGAGACGAGGCTCCAGTATGGAATTACTACCACACACACACACACACACACACACACACACACACACCACACAACCTGATGCTAAGGTAATCCAATCCATGACACGGTTACCTTGGAGTTGTCTGCGAAAGGGTTTCGAATGGAAAGAAATGTTTGAATTCTCTAGAACCAGTGAACCACTATTTCTATAGGACCCAAGTGACTGGTAGCAGATCAGTACCTGACACCCAGGTGACTGGTAGCAGGCCAGTACCTGACACCCAGGTGACTGGTAGCAGGCCAGTACCTGACACCCAGGTGACTGGTAGCAGGCCAGTACCTGACACCCAGGTGACTGGTAGCAGGCCAGTACCTGACACCCAGGTGACTGGTAGCAGGCCAGTACCTGACACCCAGGTGACTGATAGCAGGCCAGTACCTGACACCCAGGTGACTGGCAGCAGGCCAGTGCCTGACACCCAGGTGACTGGTAGCAGGCCAGTACCTGACACCCAGGTGACATCTAGTAACCGAAGTTAAAAATATTTAACATCAACGTCCCTCGTAAAGAGGGGTGCCTTGATGCCGGGGAAGGTCTCTTGATCGAAGTAATTAGAGCTTCTCTTTTCCTACGCCTGTCAAACCTGATAACCACCCACGGCTGCCGCTTTATATAACACGTAGGGGATTAATTCTTTCTTGAATGAAATCACGCTAGATGCATTCACATGTTTAATACTGTAATAATCTAGCGTTCTCTCTCTCTCTCTCTCTCTCTCTCTCTCTCTCTCTCTAGTAATCTGGGAAGGGGTTTAATGTTGTGAGGAGGGAGATTAAACCAGAATTTTGACTCTCCAGATTTCCCAAATGGTTTCTACTCCAGTCCGCTGTAGCATTAAACCAGATTAATGAGTTTACTTCATTCATTCTCTCACACACACACACACACACACACACACACACACACACACACACACACACACACACACACACACACACACACACACACACACACACACACACATTTTTCTAGAATCTTGAAAATAATGAGAAATCTCGAAGAAAAAGTATTCTAAATATTTTCTTTTTCGGAAATACTAAAATAAATTAAATAAAAGAAAGAAAAAAAAGTGGAAAAAACGTTCTTGTCTTTTTCTGGCGGAGATAAAGATAAATATTGCCACGAAGAAACAGGAGTAATTAGTTATAAACATAGAAATTACGCTAAATCAACGACAGGAAACTGGAACTGGTGGCATCTTCGGCCGACACGACGACCCTAACGCAATGTCGAGCGAGCGCCAAACCCGCAGGGGCCATACCGTGCTTCAGCGGTGAAAAGGGGTCTCTCTCTCTCTCACGTCGAAGTATACAGTCTTCTCCTGATCAATGTTACGGTTTGGAGGTGATGCCTGTGTATGGTACGCTGTGCCCCCCCTTCCCCCCCTGTGCCTCCCCTTCCCCCCCTGTGCCCCCTCCCCCCTGTGCCCCCTCCCCCCAACACTCAGCAACTGTGTCGCTCTCTGGAGAAAAATGAAATTAACAAGTACTTATATACTTGTCATGTACCTCTTAAACTTGTTCTGTTTCACATAAAAACAACATATATATATATATATATATATATATATATATATATATATATATATATATATATATATATATATATATATATATGCAAGGAATTCACAAGAGCAGGCGAAATATACACAAACACTGATCTCTGGCTGAAGGAGACTCGAGCCTACGAACCTTGGAACAAGGTACGCAGTGCTTTAGCAATCTACCCACACTGGACCAATATCTTGGAGTCTAGCTTGCGCTAGACTTTGATCCAAGGCAGCCAGCTTTCAGGGAGAAGGCTTACAGCTTTTCATCTCATCCCCTGCATGCATCAGCCTTACTAGAGATATTAACAATGCAAGGAATTCGCAATAGCAGGCGAAATATACACAAACACTGATCTCTGGCTGATGCAGAGATCAGGCTGATGCATGCAGGGGATGAGATGAAAAGTTGTAAGCCTTCTCCCTGAAAGCTGGCTGCCTTGAATCAAAGTCTAGCGCAAGCTGGACTCCAAGGTATTGTCCAGTGTGGGTAGATTGGTAAAGCACTGCGTACCTTGTTCCAAGGTTCGTAGGTTCGAGTCTCCTTCAGCCAGAGATCAGTGTTTGTGTATATTTCGACTGCTCTTGCGAATTCCTTGTATTTTGACCAGTTTTAATAACCTACTAACTCACTCACTTTATCTTCCTTAGCACTACAAGGACTCTGACTGCTCTGAGCTGTGTCAGTGCCACTCTGCCGACGAGGACAGAGAGCCACAGGCCTCGTGCATAACGCTGGCGTGCATGGACAACAAGTCTTGCAACACCACCCAGGCTCACTACCCTCACACAGCTCCTTACTACCTTGCTTACAGAGGCAACTGTGTTTGTTATGGCGGTAACTTCATCTGTCAAAAACCTGATCCAGGTGATGTGTGTGTTTCGTGTGTGTTGTGTTTTGTGTTTGTGTGTGTTGTGTTTTGTGTTGTGTTTTATGTGTGTGTTGTGTTTGGGTGTGCTGTGTTTTGTGTGTTGTGTTTTGTGTTTGTGTTTTGTAAATAAATAACAAAAAGGCACAATACCGTGACTGGAACAATACACAAATAACCCGCACATAAAAGAGAGAAGCTTACGACGACGTTTCGGTCCGACTTGGACCATTGACAAAGTCACACTAACAGAGGTGGAGCAGGACGGCTATATATAGGCAGGAAGAGGTGGTAGTAGTAGTAGTAGTAGTAGTAGTAGTAGTACAAGAATTGTATATAATACCGACAGGATGAAATTAAGACACATGCACAACACCCGGGCATCCCCATCGTACACGTTTCGCCATCCAGCCAGCCACTACTACTACTACTACTACTACCACCTCTTCCTGCCTAAATATAGCCGTCCTGCTCCACCTCTGTTAGTGTGACTTTGTCAATGGTCCAAGTCGGACCGAAACGTCGTCGTAAGCTTCTCTCTTTTATGTGCGGGTTATTTGTGTTTTGTGTGTTTGTGTGTGTGTGTGTGTGTGTGTGTAGTCCAAGAGAAATGTTATTTAAATGTTATTTAAATATTATTTAATATATTCCCTTTTATCACTATGACGTATATGACACATAATGCTATATCTTCACCATTAGTCATTTAAGATTCTTATGTACCTCATTTCAGTCAGTCACTTTCCCTCTTGTATTCTGCTTATAATTTGTATATATTATATATATATATATATATATATATATATATATATATAATATATATATATATATATATATTCCTGTTTATACTGAAAACTTTCACACTAACACATCTCTCCTTCACTCCTCTTTTTTCCCTTACGCCTAACTATCTGTTCTCCATTTCTGCCATCCCCTGATCATCAGGCGTTCTCTCCTCCCTGGCGTCGTCTCATTATCACCCTCTTAACTGCTTAATTATGATTTATTTTCTATGCCTTCCCTTGGTACAGAAGAGTATAGCCTGGGCCCCGGTATTTACCTCTTCCTGGGCTACAGCCGCGGGGAGGTTAAGATCCTTCAACCTCACACCTCCACCAATGAACATGAGGCCGTCAAGTTTCTCGAGGCCATCCTTATCAGAGATTACGGATTCAAGGTGAGATATAAGGGAGATACGAGACTTAGAGGTAGATACACGGACACCTGCAGAGACAGCAGTACAGAGATAGTCACACACGTGTAGACACACGTGTACGGAGACAGTCACATGTACATGTAAAAAATATATTTTAAAACAACTGCACAGAGAAAGAGAAAACGTACAGTCACACGTGCATGAGAAAAATTCACTTACATGGACATTGTGAAAGTATTTTTCAGAAAGGTAAGGAAAAGGGGAAAATATTATCGTTGTGTGTGTGTTTGTGTATGAGAAAAGTTTGGCTAGATACAACTACACACACAAAATTCAACAGTGGGCTCAGTACTTATTTCTCTGAATAAATTGTCAACTTATTAAAGTATTAATGAATATTTACATGTATATTACATCCAGTGGCCTTTTATTTCAAGCGTGCACGCACACGAACACGACCACGAACACGACCACACGCGCGCGCACAAACACACACACACACACGCACACAAACACACACACACACACACACACACACACACACACACACACACACACACACACACACACACACACACACACACACACAGTCATTAGTTACAACTTAGCTTGTGTTTATAGAGTACAGGACTCCGAGAACAGATTTTCCATAGCAGTGATGTAGGATGAGACTGAGGGTCACAGTTGGTGGCTGTGGATAACATCCATGTAAATTCTGCATATTTCGACCTCCAGCCGAGGTCCTCTTCAGTACTAACAGGAAAGGAATCATAGTTATACATGAGCATTAGTGTGTGTGTGTGTGTGTGTGTGTGTGTGTGTGTGTGTGTGTGTGTGAAAAGCCTTGTAAAATACATGAATATATGTCAGATTACTGTTTCTATACCTCCTCAATACAAAAGACCCCTTGCATCTGCATCAAACATAAACAGCACCTCCCTAAATCACCAGATGTCATTCACGTCCTTTTAATCCCCTCACGGGTGGTGTCTCAATTGCATCTGGCTTCACACACATCATTAACCGAGATATTGCAACGTGCCAGTCACTGTTGACGTTTGTCAACATTTCCAAATCAGTTTTTTTTTGAGTTGTAATTGGAGTTTGTGTTTCGTGTGTGTTGAGCAGTGCACGCTGGAGACGAAGCACCACCTGGGCGAGAACTTCATCATCCTGGCAGAACTCACTATCAATCCGGACACTTACATCGGTTCTTACGCCAAGCAACGCAAAGAGAAGGTAAACTGCCTTTTCCTTATCTCACGTAACAACCACCACCCGCCACAATCACTACCACCACCGTCACCACCAGCCACCACTAACACCACCAACATCATTACTCAGCCAAACCATTACCACCATAATATACAACTATTATCACTTCACTAAAAGTTTCTCTCCAGTTTATCAGTGATTAATATACACGATTATTTATATAAATCTTTGAAGTAAAATATAAGAGTTGAAAGCTGTCACCGAGGTCGTTTAATATGCTTGTAATTGAGGTTTAAAAAAGATATTTGGACCTAAAACAGACTGATTTAAAGTCGAAGTTCTCACAGTCGCTCATCGCTGACGACAGAGTTGTTTTTGAGAAGTTCAAGAGAGATGTTGGAGCTGGTGTAGAGGTTTTAAAGGGTGTGTTTAAAGCAGAGAAATTGAAAGTGTACACACAAGGTGATGAAAGTAAGGAATTTAGTGAATAAAAGACTGAGATCAGAAGGAATTATTATTGGGAACAGATCCATAAAAGATAGTGGGGCATTAACGATGAGGAAACGTAAGTAGTAGGAATGTTGTGGAATCTGTTGACAGAATTTATCAATGAACGCAGAAATACCACCATTAAAGTACTGTAGTTCTGGAGATTTTGAATGGGGGGGGGGAAGGAGGAATGCTGCAACGAGGGAGACGATGGGATTTTGTTTTGTGTGTGTGTGTGTGTGTGTGTGTGTGTGTGTGTGTGTGTGTGGTGTGTGTGTGTGTGTGTGTGTGTGTGTGATGGAAATACTACACAGATAAGGGAGAGAGAAAAGGTTTAGAACAAGATATGATGGTATGAAAGTTATAATTCAACGAGCAAAAGGAGATTATTTTTTATTGCGACAAATTAGACAACACCTTGTATCATTAGTAGACGGGTGACGAGGTCTTCAGGTTAGTACGGAAAAAAAAGCTGGTACTCTTTGTTTTCATCTACAACTGGCAGTTTTTCTTCCACCTTTTTGTTTGTATACAAATCAGTAAACCAAGCTAATTGTATTCAGTAATTTCGAAAAACAATTGCCTTTTATATCGATAAATACATTGACATGTGTGCTATCTCACCTACAAATAGTATATATCTGTATATACATACATATACAATAACATCAAAAGAAACATGTGATATCCTAATAGGCAATTTAACAACTATGAAAGGGAATTTAATGCCAGGCGCTTTTTTAATGGTGGAGTGTATGTCAGAGCAAAATTACATTTGTAGATGACTCACGAAATCGTAACGACACTGTTGCAAACTATACCACGGGTGGGGATAGAACCCGCGACTGGGCCAGCTGGCCCAGTGGCTAACGCATCGGTCTAGGGTTTTATGACTCTCTGACCGCGGGTTCTGTCCCCGCGCGTGGGATGGTTGACATTTGTAGATAACATTTCGCTCTAACGAAAGCTCTATTGAGCCAAACCGACTTAATAAACCTCTATTTAGAGTTAAGAATATGCTCTATAGTACTTCTCTGCCTCTATTGTGGGAGTCTTGTCTCTGAAGTGCTGTAGTGGTCAAGGATAAAATATCTCTTCCTTAAGAATAAGATATCAAGATAGCGCTTGGGATTTAATCCCCTTTCACAGTAACACCGCAGCCTCACACTCACGTCCTTCATCTGATCTCTGAATCTTAACATATTTTGGTGTATTATTTCTCCTCCCTCATCTAACTCTCTGGCTTGTTTCCCCGCGAGGTAAGTCGGAATTATATTTGCCCAGCTCTTTTCTAGTGCGCTTGTGTAACAGTTATTTTTTTTTCAGTATTTAAACGCCATAATCATGCTCGGCTTATCTAAGGATGGTGCTGTATATGTCAGGTTACAGTACATTATACCAGTAGTTTACAATAGATAATATCAGGATTTCGACGTTGTTGCATCAGAAATAATGTTCCATTCTTACCTGTCTACTTGTGGCGACCTGAAACAGGTTCCCCTAATTCCAGTTATCATACAAGTCTAGTTAGTTAATCTTGCTGTAGGGACTGCTTTGCTGTTTTTATGTATCGTAAGCTCGCCCTTATTGACTATTAGGATCTCAACAGATCATATTTTGAAATAATGTGGTCTAATTATGTGGATATTTTTGAGCTTATGTAAATTATACTGCAACATAACTATAGTTTTTAAGAATTGCTTTTTTGGGCAATACGATGTTTTTCTACAATATATTGTATTTAAATGGCTGTAAAGTCAGTTATGATGCCTTGCCATATTGGTAGCCTAGCCTGTTCCTATTTAGCTTAATTAGTACTTGTTACATCATAGTTTACTACTAATCTAGTGCATTGTTAATATAGTCAGTAGTAAGAGATTCAAATTACGGCTATATTGACGCCTGTCAGAGCATAAATAATTTTCTGAATTCAATTTTTTATACAGTACTGAAAGTATTATTACAAATTAAAATTTAATTGCAGGTTTTTGTTAGTCACTGGAAGAATATACCGAAAAGTTTGTTAATAAATCTATTTTTAGTTAGTGGCATTCATTGAGACGTTTTCTTCATGAATGACCTATCGATTGTGTTGATGTAACAGCTCTGTCACATCCAGTGAAAATAAAAGTTTGACCAGTGTTTCAGAAATTAGGAATGAACCTGATTTCTGTGTGATGGAGTTAGTCATGGAAACAAGAGCAAATTCTAAGCATGTTAGGCTTCTACGCTTAGGACATTATTTGAAATGTCTTCGTCCTTGAACCTTGGTCACTACAGGGACTGAAATTTTCCCAATAAAGTTGTATTAAGTGTCCTGTCATCCATGGTAGGTTCCGTCTGTCTGCTGCTGGGATCAAATGGTTTTCTGTGTTGAGGTGACTTTTACAGCACTTCAGTGCTCACTCAGCCTCGTGTCCAGGTCCCTAGAAGTTTCACCAACATAAAACATGTCCCCCACCTCCATAGGGTATCGTGCGGACATCAGCGGTGTTTTTGGATGCTGAATTTAACGAAGCTCCTTACGGTGTTGGAACCTTTGATGGCAACCCTGATGGTGGCTTTGGTTAAGCATTTGGATAGGTTATTGTTTTGTTGACAAGACTTGTGCATCTGCTGGTGTTGGAATCTTGCTTGGTATTGTGTAGTACGTCTCCACGCTTTCCCAGCAGTCTGTGATGAAGAGTTGTGGAGAGCAACAATAAATCTGTAAGTTCTTAGAAACCAACAAGTAATAGTCCCACGTTTTGTTGTTTCTGTGATAAGATATTGCAGTAAATAATTTGTTAATAGGTTAGCAGTATACCTTACGGTAAAGTTAAGTTTATATTCGATCTCGCAGATCATGAAGTCCAGAAAAGGAATCTGTCGTCTTTACTCTTCAGTGGTATATTTTATTAAAGGTTCTACCGCCTTTGTTAAAATAAAGGTTGAAGGTGTTAAAGTGTGTTGGAATAATGAATAGAATGTCTTGAGGTATCTTAGCCAGGTTTCCTCCCTGGGGATATGCACTGTTAACCTCACCTCCTCCAGGTGTTCCATGTATAAACTGACCATGACTGCACTCAGTAGTGAGCCCATGACCATGCCAAATGACTGCTTGTACATAGAGCCCTCGACAGAGAAGTACTTTAAACCCACAACTCGCTCGCACTGAAATCTTTGGCACAAGACGTTAAGATAATCTCTGCTAAGTGGGTCAACGGCTTGAGTAACAGCCACTTTGGTGAATAATGTGACGCCAGAGCTGCCGAGTTAACGTTTCTAATGCGCATATCTTATCCTTTCAATGAGATCCCCAGTGTGTCTAGGATGAGCCGTGCTGCTGCTAGTTCCTCTCATTTTCGAGTTTGTGCCATAAAATTTGCTACTTGGCGTGAGGCACACCTTTTTATCCCTTGTTTTCCTCCCAGTGTACTTTTGTACATTGATGAAGCCGGATCCCATTTTACGAAAATGATTAAGCGAATTCGAGCACTGAGCTTAAACTTGACTACCATGTGACTGCTGCCGCATCTGTAATAATATCCAATTATTAATGCAAACCAGAGTAAATTTACTAACGACTTACTGAAGCGTTGAATACTAGCGAGATCATTTTCAAATCCATTTTGTACATACTGGCATAACTGAGTTCTTAGTAATCTAGCCACAGGAAATTGTGTAGGAAAGATAGATTTTGTGCTCTGTCTGGTTTATTAAATCATTTAAATGATTCTTATAACTTATGCTTGTGTATTTATAAGTACAGAAATTTATATATATGTACTGCAAAAAAGTTCGGAGAAACGCTAACTTTAGTTTTGGAGCTCCTAGGACGCCGGTCCGGAATCCAAGATGCAGCAGGTGTTCCTTCTCTGGATAGCCACACTGAGGCGCTGGAAGAGACAGGTGGCAGCCTTCGGATCTTTGGTGGTTTCGATGAGCCTGGAGCCCAGCCCCTTGAAGAAACCCACAGCATGTTTTCTCCAGGAGCCAAGGGTTTCTGATCTTATATTAACCTGTGAACTTCCCTGTGAACCGCAGCAACACCCTGTACTATAAAGATGTAGGCGTCGGCCAGGGTAGATGAACAAATGTAATTCCACTCCAGCAGTCTTCCCATTTTCCAGGGATAAAATGTAATCCTCTCTGTGTGGCCAGTTAATGGTCCAAATCGGACCGAAACGTCGTCATAAGTTTCAATGTGTATTTTTTTTTTTTGAGTATTCTGTTCTATTCTAAAGTGGTCCCGTCAAGGCAGCAGGTAGGCACATCCGGGATGCTGGGAAGGAAAGTTCAATGTTCTCTCTGGGATGGGCACATTGCTGTATCAAGGCTTCTCTTGATCTCGTTGACTTCATTTTAACATGCCAACCTTCTGGAACTCGAATAGTTCAAACCATGCAGCCTGGACTGCTCTGCTACCAATTTGCCGCAAATACACTTGTTCTTAGTATGAATAGAGGCAGGAAGGCGGAAAGCCTGATTCAAGATGTGTTCCAACTGCAAAGATGGGAACTGTTAGGAGAAAGTCACCTACGTGATCCGCACTCACTGCTAGAAAAAAAAGGCTAGCTCTCTCATTAGAAGAGGTGCACCTGTTAACACATCTGCTGGGGCTATCTCAACTGGACTGTTTATGAGCTGAAGTTGCAGTTGGTTTCCTCGTTTGTGCTAGTAGACTAGGGTCATCCACTCAAGTCCTACTGCGTATATGTTCTTGTAGAATTTCAAGCACCAGCTCGTTGAATCCATGGGAGGAGGATAAAAGGGCTGGCAGGGTACTCAGAGGCTGTATGAATGCCCAGTCAGCCTAATGTGACTGGAAGTGTGGCTTGCTTTCGCCGTGATTCGTCCAGAAAAGGGGTTAGGACTTTTTCTAGCATGGACTTTAAGAGGAAGTAATACTTTCTCAGTCTGGGGGCTGACAAAAAAAAACCGAGAGCATCGTAAAATATAAGTTAGCTTAGGTAGGGACGAGCACCTGGTGAGGAGATAGAAGGCATCTTGAGCATCAGTGTCACTAATTCTGGTTTCCATCATCTTGAGGTCGAATATATTTTTTCTCCCAAATCTCACCAATAGCGTTAGATTCAAGTGTGGTACCACGAAGTGTGCAATCAGTGGGATCAATGACCGACTCCTAGCGAGGCAATTGTAACTTGTTCGATGGTGTGTGAGATCACCATTTCGCATTTCGAGGGGTCTAGAGACCTACATTCTCTCCTTGCTCTTTGATGATTTTGATGTCTCCTGGGGAGGGGGGTAGAATTCTTGAGTGTCCGCAAGAACCAGATATACTTTACCTCAAACTGAATATTTCGGGCTGCATATAAGCCCTCTTCAAGAAAGAGGGTTTTTGAGGCAGGACGAAATAATCACGGAATATTTCTTTTTCAAAAAAGGTTAATATTACTTTGATAAGTGCGCTATTGTACTTTCTCACATATGTACTTACTGTATATACAATTTTCCCTTTGGTCTCCTTCAGGAGGAGTGTGCTGGGCCCCTACAGAAGCTTGCAGACAAAATCAATGCGAGACCTCGTCACCCTGACATCATCACAGATTCCATTCTCTCCATGTTTATCCTTGCTGAAGTTGATGTTAACATCCCCGAAGCCCAGACGTCCCTGTCCGCCGCTCCTGTTTCCGTTCGTCTCGACCTGTTGGCTTTCCTATCCATGCTCATTGGTCTTCTGCTGTTCTCCTACTGCGGTAGTGTCACCCTCACTACGGCCGCCACCTGACGGCTCCACTGAACACAAAGGGTGATGCATGGAGATCTCGGACACCTCGAAGTGAGGCCACGAAGCTTCGATCAGAGTGTTGGTTGAGGAACTTGGAGACGCACAAACTTAACATTGGTTCTGGACCTCTGGGGAAGAAAGAAACTTTCTCTCTTGATAAATGCAGTTGTGTCTTGTAGTCAGGCAGTCTTTTAAGAGAAATATAAAAAAAGAATTATAGTATTTTTGATAAGTTCTTTTAGAGGACATATTAGTCAGTAATATGATGTGACAGTGTATAATAATATTCCCCGTTCATTTTACCAAAACGCTCTATTTTTACACCACTTTAACAGATCCACAAGTGCTTTTTTGATCCCAGAGTGGTGATGCTGACATGCCCTTCAACGCAGGGTTGAGTGCCAAAACCCAACACAGAAAATAAACCCAGTGATACAGTCCTTTTGCATTAAGAGGACACGCCAAGTCCACCACACACTGTATGATGAGAGCTCACACAACCCAGAGTAGAGTAAGGTAACATCAGTCAAGG